AACACCAGAAAGCTCAATAAAATATTACGAACCAATAACCATAATAGAAAGAAAAACAAATTGTCCTTAGTTTTGGCCCTTGCTCAGGTGCAAAAGCCATTATCAACACAATAATATATCCAATTTTATTGCCTTGGCTAACATTTAAGAAAAATATTTAGCACCAAAAAAACAATATCTAAAACTAGTCCCAACAACTAGTGACTAAGCCAACCATCAATGCAGTACTAACCAACGATACAAGGGACTTTAGAATACTTAATAATGTCTAATGAGAAAAATAATGTCCAGTGATAGTGGACATTTACTTGAATAATGACTAATGAATAATGACCAATGGTAATGGATAATGACCAATGGTCTTACATTGGAAAATAAAAACATATGATCTTATATTGAGATAGTCATTATATTTTAGTTAGATAAATTCTCCATAGAGAATTGAGGCAATATACAATTAGAGGGACACTAGATAACACCTTAACACTTTAATGCAAAATTTATTATGTCATAATAATGACTAAATTCTTACTTTAATGCCTTATCAATGCAAAATTTTTATGGAAAATGTTTATCTTACCTTTAAGGGCAGCAGTTAAATGAGGCTTATGCACAAGTAAAATTTGCACTAAATAGGACTAAAACATAATGACTTTTCGAATGTAGGACTTAAACTTTTTATTCTCTAAATAAGACTTAATAGTGACCTAGTGGCCGGGAGTAATAATGTCCAATAATGATAGATATTTATTTGAATAATGACTAATTGATAATGACCAAAAGTCCTACATTATGAAATAAAAATGAAAAATCATTATGTTTTAGTCTTATTTAGATAAATTTCTCTATGCACAATGCTCTTATCACTATAATGTCTAAATTATTACGAAGACATTATGTGCATGCAGAATGTCTAAATGAAACCAGTTAAGGCTATCTTTTTTTTATCACAACCATACATAAAGACCTTACTTTCTTTAATTCCCAATGGTTAATTATACTTTTATACTCTCCCTACCAGTAATTGAAAGAAAACAATAAATTAAAGTATTTACAAACCCTAGATAAGGCCTCACCAGCATAGTTGTATGCAGGGCCGGCCCCGAAAAATGAAAAAATAAAATTGGCCCGGTCCAAAATTTACATTTTGTGCCCTATTTTATATTTTTAGAATATTTTTGCTTTAAAATTATTAACAAATTTAAAAATATGGTACCCTAAATTTTAATGTGCCCTG